AACTAGGGGAAATAATTTTATTATGAAGTGAAAAGATTTTTCTGAAATTTTAATGCAAATGTAGAAATATAAGTTTCGGATGAAAAGACTGTTTTCTCAGAACCAGATTGACAATAGGGACTGAGGTAATAGAAAAGATTAGCTATTTCTAAAATTGCTTTAGCGACAGATGTTTTGTTTTACTGAATCGGAAAATTGAGAGTTGAATCTGTTGACTTAGCTAACAGTATAAAGTAATACATTTCATTAAGCTGTAGAAACCTAGTGATTTAAAAATCAATTTCAGTTAATTGGTCATCTATTCAGTTGACTTACTTCAAGCCTAGGTTAACCATAAAGATAATTAGTTTAGAGGAATAGATACATTATCAATAATATTGTTATGTACAAATGAAAAAAATTAGTTTGGAAGTTTTATATCACTCTGTCATTGTTGACGATATGATGTATATTTAAATGGGATATGTAATGGAAGATGAGAATGGCTATCTGATGAACTGAACACAAGTCAGTTTACTGTCTACCTTGATAAACATGAAACAAGAAATTTTGAAACAAAATAAATAGCTCAGAAGGTGTTTGTGTATGGCACCACTCACGCTAATATTACTGGATTACATCAATTATCGGTTTATTAGCAACGCACTTTATTATCTCATAGTTCAAGTCACATTGATGAGATGAGTCAGCCACCTAGAATATGCAGGATGCTTAAAGATTAACGGAACTGTTCAAAGTAAAGTCCTAAAAATAAAGACATTAGTAGATAAAACAAGTGATTCGTCAGGTTATGTTCGATATATACCTCCATCTTCTCATTATCTTGAAATGTTGGAAAAATCTTTAATCGTTTGGTCTCAGCATGTATCTACGGTATTTAATACAAACGTGTTGTATGAATATACCTGTATATTCTTTTTGGAATACGATATATAACTAAGCATGCGACTGCCGAATGTATTTATTCAGTTCTATTGGTTAATTAGTGTTTACTTGTGTGATCAGCCCGAATACCTCATATGTGAATGTTCTCGATTTTCCTCTGTTTGGCTGTCCGTCTGTCTATCTATATCTATCTGTTTATCATATTTCATTATTATATCACGCTACAAATACATTAGAAACACTGACTAATTGGCCCTCTGGACAGTTTGTATTCATCTTAACACAATGAAAATTAGACCAGTTTAACGCAATTTTGGATTTATTTAAGTAAAATGCAGTTACTGATTATTATAGTACCAGAGTTATTTCCGTTCTAATACAATTAACAACGACTCTAATTGCCAGCGTCAATATAAATCCAGTTCAATTACAGAGGTCTGATTTTTGTGTTAATCGAATGTCATAATTATTCAGATTCAGATTTGTGTATTGAGGATAGAAGACCTACGGTTTTTGTTATTTTTTTCTAGTAAGCTTCTGAGAGTATCTATTCTTTTTTTGAATTAGTCAGTTGAACGGACGAATACCACTTCTTGGGGTAACAGGTTGTGAAAACCTGTATGACATGCGTATTTTGTTCGTTTTAGACTTCTGTACCCGACTGGTATATCCTGATCTTGAAAGAATAAAAAGAGACGTCTCGGGTTCGAAATCATTTGTTAGTACCCAACACATCAAAACCAGTCCACCCCTTGATAATAATAATGACAATAATAATATATTTCTGCATGAGCAGGTACATGCCATTTTTACAGGTATGATCTACAAATTACAACATTTGTTGACTCACAGCATGCTTCCCAACTTATTAATTTTATTGTTGTTATAAAGCAGACTCGTAGAGCGTTTGCTGTAAACTATGTCCTTGAAAAGACGCGTACGTCAAGTTTGTTCCAGACGTCAGAAGTCCCATAGCTGTGCCCTCAGAGCAAGATTCTGAAGAAACGAAAAAGAGAAACAGAAGAGCAGCAAGGCACTTGGATATGAGCGCCAAACGTTGCTTAACATTTTGTAGTAGAACAGACAGAGGTATAATAAATTAGATTAAATTCATAATATCTCTTGTTAGAGTGAAATGGAGTCAGATGCCCCATATAAGAGAATGTAGTAATAAAGAACAATGGGTTTTGATGTTTAACAAGTTGGACTTAGCTCACATGAAGGAAGGGAAGTCAAGGTTGGTACAAGGAAAGCTTTTTATTAGAAGGGAGTGTGCATATAGACAGTGAAGTGTTGAGACTACTAGTAACTATATATTTTATTGTCTAATTTTTTTCCTTAATTTTCCTTTTTTGTCCATCCGATGCCAGCCACACAATCCTAGTGTTATAGGTTGTCTTAGTAGAATAGCTAATCCAGCATAAAATTGGAAACATGAGTCTTAGTGGTGAGCGTAGGAGATCAACCTCAATATCACAGATTGATTGACTTATTCTCAATAATAAAAAGCCTGATACATACGGAATGTTGTGTTTCAAAAACATGATTGGATTGAAGTCATCGCCCGCATCATCAATGCTTGTTACCCAGTAACTCCACCCTCCCTCCTTTTGTGATGTTAGGCTTGTTTGAGCTTATTTTTGGATATATGTCATGCCTCACACAACCCTCTGTGTTTTACATCATGTTGGAAAACACTACAAGCACCATTTTACAAGCTTATCAGGCAGTTACAAGTTGTGGACTGTGGGTAAGGCATCGATGCAGTGCTTTAACTGACTATAGTATAAAGTATAGTTTGCAGATCAGAGTATAAGCATCAATAAGGACATAATGTAGGATAGTTGTTTAGTAAGGCAGGCGGAAAAGTATATAAGTATATCAGTTGTAGATAAGGTAACGAGTGGAGAAATAATATTAATTGTTAGTCAACATAGTGTACATAAGTGTAAAAAGCTAATAAAGAATAAACAGGAAGAAACTCACACTAACTTGGTGCTGAGGTAGGACAGAGTAAAGAGGTACAGCCTTTCAAGTCGTTCTTTGAATGGTTACATCGAGGTTCCGAAGTTGCACTTGGAGCCTTTCTCTGTGCCTTTTCCGAGATATCCGGGTCCTCGTTTAAACAGGGATTACAGCCTGAACGCAGTTTCATGTTTGGATCTCAACCTATATTTAATGCTATTCAAGTTCTACATCTGACCAAATCTGGAAACTCACATCAATGTCGCACAACTTCTTCTCGATAAGAATATAAATCTTTTAGAATAAATACATTGTTTAATAAGTGACAGAACTGAAATACAGATCATATGCTGACAAGCTGTTTCACTTGAGATTCTTGTTATAGTGTAAGAGTGAATAAGAGGTAACCTTAAAATAATACACAATATAACAAGTACGGTAAGCTTTCCCATCAAAAACAACATATCTGGACTCTGCCGCTGCTTTCCACGAGATTGACTCTGAAAAAATGTACACTGTAGAATGTACATCCTAATATATTCAAAATTATTCACATTACTAATCGTCCGTACCTAGAATGGTCTTACTGGCGGTGTGGCTAGAAATCAAGAGAATATTAAAGTGTACATGTTGGTCACGGTAGTTGATTGCTTTGTTCGGAATACTAGTCAACCGTGAGCACTTACCAGCAAGTTCTCCTTGAACTTATGAACAGACCAATGAATCAAATTATAATTTATCATCATAACTGATTACTATTATCCAACTTCGCCCCCTTCTTTACCTTAATACTTTCGAGTCAAATTTCACACAGAGTTTAACAAATCGACTATCGCATTAAGCGACAAATGCCAGTTATAAACCGAATGCTACCGTCGAACGGATTGATTCGCGTCGATGAGAGGAAAACCAACCCACCTGGAACTGTATTTAAAAAGCATCGGTCTTGCTATATGCTGAAGGCGTCAAGATATGAAGAAAGATACGACGCAAGGGTGATAGCTTAGAACTCCAAGATAACCTGAAGAAATTATCTGAATGGTCTCAAACCTGACAGTTGCCGATAAACACTTCCAAGTTTGTTGTGATGCATATCGGTCATCAAGGTACAGATACATACACGGTGAATAACGCTGAGCTACCTGTCGTCCAGACACATAATGACTTAGGAGTCATCGTTAGCCAAGACTTAAAGACTACTGCACACTGCCATGCAATAGCCGCCAAAGGTTTTAGGATCTTACGGTCAATACGTAGGACTTTTAGTTCTGTCGTCACTAAAACGTTTTCGACTTTGTACACGGTGTTCGCACGTCTTAAACTTGAGTACTACATAAAAGCGGCTAGCATCTGCCTAAAAAGACAGTGGGCTTCTAGAAAAGGTTCAGAGTACAGCAACTAAGCTGATTCCCGGAATAGCGAAGCTTCCGTATGATGCTCAACTGGCCAAGCTGAACATTTACCCGTTGTCATATCGAAGAACTAGAGGCGAATTGATTACAGTTTTCAAATTACTTAGTGATAAATTTGCACCTGATATGCCCTCATTATTCTTGTCTTCCAAAACAGAATTCACGAGGACACTCTGAAAAAGTTCACAAGCCCAGAAGAAATTACTTGTCAGCCGACTATCGACTTTCCCATCGAAACATCAACGAGTGAGATTCATTACCTCAGCACGTGATTGAGTCTCCATCCGTCAACTTTTTAGAAGGAAAGTTGGGTCAACCGAGAAACCACCATTGGCATGACTAACACTGGCTATCAAACCTCATGTTCTCTCCGAAATGAAACTGAAACTGAAAAAGAAACGGAGTGGTTTCCATTGACTCGTGACGAAAATAGATAGCAAGAATAGCTTTCACTCTTCACGAGTTGTCATATTGTGAATTTCGCCGTCTACTGAGGTCATCAAAGTAACGTTCGAGGAGTCCTTCCAGTGGAAACTCAATATATCATTAGGTACTCAAGACAGTATTAACTAATATTTCTTTTGTTATCGTCAGATATGACTGAGCTACCATCTAGGGTCATCGGTAATCTATTGTTTTATATACAGAAACATGTTAAGTGTAAGATTCTTCTTTGATGTTCACAACGATTTAAGCAGATTGATACTGTTTGAAGACATTGTTTGTTGGATGACCTTCAATCATTCAAACCCTTGCGGAATAAGGATGAATGTGTTAAGGCATTATGCCTAGCCCTAAAGATTGGGATAGTTTTAAAATTTCCACACATTTATGCATGTTTAGTTGTATAAAGTCACTTATAAATGTCACTAGCATATGGATATGGCATGCGTTCCTCTGTTCAATAAACAGCAGTGTTATAACTTTGATGTTCTAGTAAAGCTGCACAATTTGACAGCTGTTCCTTACGTTAACTCCGTCACTTTCGCGAAGCTTCGGCTTTTGAACAGCCGAAGCTCTGCTCAATACTCTCCCAGGTTTGTTTATACTTGCCATTAACCGTTCAGAACTGAAATCCGAAATAATATTGTGACTTGGAACAGTGAACATCGTTTCCATTGCAAATTCAAAAGCAATGCTGAGACAACTATATTAGATCCAAACATTCTTAAAGTGTCTATCCGCATGGTAAGTTTCTATTCGTATGAACTTCATAAACCCAATTTTTGATTTAATTTTCACTGACGAGTAGTTTTGTTGATCTGCTCTTTAATCTCTATAAAAACTAAGAAAAAACTAACCTTTCTTGGTAGAGTTTGTACTTCTGCGGCACAGTTTTTTTTGCTGTTTATAGCATATATATTCGATTTTTTCGCATAGCTTGACTGGTTTTCGTGTTGGCTTTTAAGCTAATTTTTGCGAATTTAAGGACAGGTAATCTAGTAACTTATGTTAGGTTTCACAATTTTAGCCGTCGAATTCGTAGCGCATTCACTGCTATGCGAAACAAGGTTTTTACTCAATGTCGTCGTGTTTAATATTTACAACACTGCATCATTCAAGTTATAAAAGTCTTTACGAACTGCCTACGAGATTCAAAATCTTTTTAGAGAGTTCGCCTTGTGTTTAACTACCATCAGTCTAAAACACTACCGCGATACTTTTATAGTACTTCAGGTTCGTCAGTGTCTTCACTGTCTAGTACCATTGGATCTTTCTGATAAGAAGGAACGCCGAATTCTGTCACTATGTCCGTTTCTTTACGTGGGAAAATAAAATATTGGGACTAGGCTTCAAACAAATTAGTGTAAGTTGAAGTCCACCAAATATGAATTCGTTTTGAATATGTTAACTAGTTTGATACATAATCGAGTGGGTTCGAAACATCATGCAATTCGGTTAGGTTGTTTCCTTAGTTTAATGGTTCACGTACGTTATATTCGACATGTTTTCTTCTACAGTTGAGGGTAAAACCGCCATATAGTATCACTAGCCATTCAGTGGTCATGATTCATCCCACCGATATAATCGTTTATTATTGTTTGTGCTTATCATATATTCAAAGGACCAATCTCAACTTTAAATTCGGTCCCGAGTTAGTTTAGGGACTCACGCAGCTAAGTTCTAGTGGTTGATAGCACTCTAGAGCATGTATAGTGTTTAAGAATTTACAGTCAAATGATTATTTTTAAATTGAATTTCACATAAGACAGTGAAAGAATTAGTTTGAGACATGACACCTCTATGGAATTTATCAAATACTATTGTAAACGTTTACATGGTAGCTTCCTAATTTGTGTTTTTCAGATCTTCTTATTTATTTATTTTAGCACATAGATATTGGTACAAGGATTCACCAAATACATATGCGCCACACAAATCTCATTTGATATGTGTGAGGGCTGTAATACTGCCAGGGTGCTCAGACCAAATCAGGTGGTTTTTTTAGTGGGCCACACCCGGAGCCTTCGACCTGAAGGTCTGATCCACAAGGCAGTGGAGCAACGTAAGGAGATGAGTCCCCATGGTAGCTGGTGACCAAAGACTGGTCCATAGGCCATTTGTTACCTCGGGATACTGGAGCCCATGTGAGCCATTGGTTTGGAATCTGGGTTTTCCATTTTCCTTAGGTGGACTCTCCATTTCCACCAACCGGGTCAAAGCGTCGTACATTCACTTTTCATCTTCTCAATTTCGTGAACAACACCTTCGCTACGAGGAGGCAGTGAGTAGGACTTCCCTGGCGGAGGCTATATACGCGTGGCCGTGTGAGAGCATTTGGAGAGGGAGAGCGGACTCTCTCCACCTCGGCCGTACCAGGGAATTTGCTCGTATCGTAATGGCTCATAACTCTCCAAATGTTTGCCTTTCGCTCTCCGTAAGAGGATAAATTTATACTTTTATTGTCGAATCAGCGTTCTGTGTTATCTTAATGAAATAAATTCACATCTTGGTTCAAACCAGATATTATCTTCACAGTCAACATTTTGCCAAATTTGCCAGTATACCTACTTCAATTCACATAATCTCGTGCGCATAAAAGTGTAGGATTGTTAACTATTATGGTGATCGTCTTATTAAGCCAACTTCGGAAATATGTATGTAGCTACTGGGTTAAATGTCTCGTTTTTTTTTAGTAGTCGGCAACGTATGTGTTCGCGTAGCAAAACCATTTGTTGAAAGGGATGTTAGTTTTAAGCTATCATACGCATAAATATAATAAGACCATCCAATTTTTCATCACACTTAACATTAATATCATTTATCTAACGTTTTCTCGTAGGAAACAAAAGGTGGAAAATCATTTCACAAAGTTGGTTTTGTCAGTATCAACTTACCATGTTTCGCTGCTGTTGGAAATGTAATTAACCATCGTAGATATATTTTAGAAGGTTATGATGAGAAACGTAAACGTCAGGACAATTCTCTTTTATCAATTTCATTCTGTCTGCGACAATTGACTGGAGATAATTGTTTTCGAACGTAAGTTCATAAATGATTTCGCCTGTGGTTCTCAGTTTTACTGTTCTTGCCATCTTCCATATATTTTAGGTTGCTTCCGTAAAACCTATCTAAAGTGAATAGGATTATCGATAGTTTAGAATTATTCCTGATGTCAAGTTTTTGTTAAAAGTTAGCTTTGCTTCAACTAGGTTTCATACTTATATACTTGTGTGAACTTAATGGGAATTGATGCTTCTTCTGAATCATAATCACTTCCTTCAGCGCTTTAGTCAAAGCCATATACTAGTTATCTATTAATCGTTTCCGTAATTTTGCCAACATTTATATCGAGCGTTTCAATCTGTAGTTCAGCATAACAAACGAAGGTAATGCCACTATCTTAAGTCTGTGAAGTCGATTTAATCTTAAAATATAGTGTCGAAATTGCTTAAAAAGAAATATATTTTAAAGGTTCCAAATAGGTAGGCAACCTCATAATTAATTCGTTGAAACACTAGATATTTAATGCATAAAAGAAGTTAGAAGTATTCTTTTATAAATAGGTCCTCATCTCGACTCCACAACGATTTGTTAGTTTAACAGCTGAATATAAATCATTATTAGTCATTTGATTGAGAATCAGCTGACAGCGTATATAAATCTAGTTCTGTCTGTAGAAATAGCAGTGGGTTCGTAAGTATTTGATTTTAGTTTTTGGACGAATGCTGGAATGATAAAGTTTGAGGTCACTCAGTCATTATGAAACAAGTCACCTACAGACACGATCAGAATAATAAATCAGACTAGATCCGTAAGTTACGCTTGTTTATGCTGATTCCTATAATCTCTTCCATGTTCAAAGGGCAAAATTTGGAAGCATAATGATTGTTGGATGAGACTCGATATACAACTGTAAAAGACACCTTAAAATCACTGATATATTTGTTTACTAGATATACCAGGATAGAGTTGTTATCAGCTATTTCTCATCCGGACACCAAACGAGACAATAAACTTGCCTAATCGTATATTCAATATAAATGACTCCACAAGTGCAGTTAAACTGGTTACTATGCATAGTAGTGCCGATGCAAGGGATTCTATCGTCGCTTAACGAAGTCTTTATTGGTTACCCGTAAAACGAAAAGTATAACCCTGACTCATTGAACATTACACTTGACGCATCCTTTAGACGCGCTGTGACTTCTCTGGCTGTCATCTTTAATCGTTACTTTTAAAAACAACGGTTTTAAGGATAGTCATTATATATATATATATATATATCACGGTTTGATTCTTGATCCCGGATGAATAAATCTTGTATACATAGATAATGCTCTCTTAAATTATGTTCACACATTTTTCCTTATTTCTGAACTATGTACGAGCAAGTTTCTCATACCGTGTCTCACCGTTAAATTTATGGCATAAAGTCCATATGAATATTTTGTTAGTCTCGATAAGTAAGCACGATATAACTTACTATTAGTACTATCGATATACTGATAGAAAACAGTTGATTGGTGTTTCTTGAGTGTTAATCCTCCTATCTCTCTATGTTTAGTTTTGGTGAGATTTTTCCGCCGTTTTCAACTCCTTTCTTTCTATGATAATGACCTGAACAGTCAGATGCTATAGTAACTAGCTCTTTTTTGAATGTCACATAGATATTTCAGAAAGCTTTTTATTAAACTTACGTTTATGTAGTATTTTCCTTGAAAACCATGCAAACATGCATCTACATATTACTACAATACTTCATAATTGAGTTCACCTTGAAACTTTTCCTAAAACCGCGTTAAGATTGTACAAAATAGGCATCTTTGAACCTTTTTAAAAGGTTTTATTTTTTGAACAAAAGGCTAAATTCAATTTCATTTATCCACATACTCTGCAATTGAACTGTTTCATTCCTAGTTTATGTTCCAGTAAAAAGAAAAAAAATTGTATGAAATCTTTACATAGTAAGTTAGGTCATTGCTGGTAGTAGTATTGAGGAAGCACATTTTTCTTAGCTTGATGCTTACCAGCTGGGTGTATGTGCATCCCAATTGCTGATACTCGTGCCAGGACTCGAATCCAGTATCTTTGGCCTCTAATCTTAACTCATCCATTGTCCTATATGTATCCACTAACGTGTTCAAAAAATCATGAAGTTATGATATATATGCAAGGGTTTGCATCTTCCTATTTTTGGTATTAAGGACAGTTTTTGGTCTTTCCGTTGGGATATGTATATTCCGTAAGGATTGGCTCGAAATCGCTTTTAAGTAAAAGTTGAATTGTGTCTACAAATTAAATCCAAAATTTAACTAGAATTCAGGCCATATCGGTTAAGTTAATAGTAGTCCTAATAAACTATTCATTTTGAGATTAGTATGGTTTTCTTGCATCATAATAGTTAATCACTAGTTAATAAGTTGAATTCATTTTTTTCATTTTCTATATACTTGTTGTTATAAATAATAATAAAAGTGCATAAATGTTGTTTACTTTACTAAAGCAATTTACTTAATAAAATGTTCTCTAGGCAAACTGTATTATTTTAGTTACTAAGATGTGATCAGATGTCTAACGACCTTGAATTGAACTTGGAAGTTACAAGATTTAAGCTTAGTCTTAATAATAGAACTAAGTTTCCGGTAAAAAGATTTTAGTTTAAAACATCAAGATATTTTATCAAGATTACTTCTTAGTAGCCATAATGATTACGTGTTTCGAATTTGTCTATGTTATTTTAACGAGGAGAAATTGTTATTAGTGACTGTTGATGAAAGTAGAAGTTAATTAAGAAGTAAAAGATATTTTTACTTCTGGTTATATTCACACTCTGTAACTGTGCTGATAGAATTAGTTTGACTTGTAAATTAATCATCACATTTTACTGAAAATCTTTACAATACGTCGATTGTCCTATGACTTATTGATTTATTTTTACTTCTATTCTAAAGTATTTAGTTTTGTGTCCATACATTGCGGATTATTGATAATATTGTGTCATTTTATCTTAAATCGGGTATCATCGACAATGTTTTCCGTATCAGAGCGTTGTTCAGGTTTGCAGATAACACTGTTGTGTTTCCGAAGTTTTGCAGTTCTTTGAGGCTTTTATACTACTATTAGTCAAGGAATAAACATTTCTTACAAATCAAGAGTATTTCAATAGAAATGTAATGAAAAAGCAAATGGGTTTAATACTTTCACGAACCCATTGAATTTTCAAAATTTATGATAGTTTTGTACGTTTTAATACGAGGGAAATTTCGCTACAGCTCCTCATTTGTCTGAATGAAAACAAGTTTTTGTATCTTTTATAAAGTCATGATTAGTTATAAAAATCAATTCGCATTGCCTTTACAATATTTGTTTTTTTCCTTAAAATTCAACCAAATTGTGCTATGTGATGTCAAATGTAAAAATCGTGATTTCTTTTGGCATTCATACACCACTATAACACATATTATTCATTGAATCACTCACCAGATAATTTGTCTAATAAAGAACAAATATTTATCGATTATTTCCTTTGTACTATTTCAACTTGTGTTAATTTAATTTCAGTTACTTATTTACTCTGAAGAAGTGACTTGCATTAAGTCATGAAACGTCAGAAATACAATGTTTTTACTCATTGGGGTATTACAAAAACATTTATTATTAACTTTCTATCCGATTCTCAATTTATTGAAAACTATCAAGTCCAACCTTGGCATTGTTACCTATTTATCGATTTGTTTGTTCTATAAAATATGCATCAGGAGGAATTTGTAATCATTGTGATTTTTTCTGTTTGCCATTTTTACGGTGTACTGATACAAAACATTTTCTCCCAACAATTCTAAGTAGTCTATGTACCACAAAAATGTATTTTCTATAAAGTGTTTCATATGATGGAGAATAGTTGATGTTGCTTTCTGAATTTCACAGAAAAATAACCGAAATTTGTATTCTTGATGGTGATTAGTTCGATAATGTAATATGACTGTACCAAATTTAATTTGCATAATTTAGCAATTCACCTATTTGCCATAAACTATACGATGTGCATAATCCTAAAATTGTAAATAATTAAAGATTCACTGTTGCGAGTTCATAGCACATATTTTAAGGTTTTTAAATGACTTATCAATCGTCACAGAATGACCTCAGTTAGGATACCATTGAAAACGATGAATCACCGAATATCTTTTTGATCCTAGTATCAAACCCACTAGCATACACCTACAAACTCATTAAAGATTTAGCTTTAGACAATCAGGTCTTATCGCGAGCATTGAATAACTAGGCAGCTAGTTTGTTGCCACAACTGAGATCACAATGGGAAGCAAAGACCACCACCTACGCATTGAAACATTCTTTACTAAACTCGTCAACTTTTCAATTCGTTCACTTGAAGAACATCATCTTGCTATCCTCTATTTGTTTTAATTTTTTAGTTTCTACCAAAAGATTGATATTTAAATTGTAAAAAAGAACCAACTTGTGACAGTACATTCTGACTATTTAAAAAAAATCAACTTTTTAAAAGTTACAACTTAACAATAAAGTACAACTTGCATACATACATAAAAAATGGTTACCATTGACATAAAAATGAAAAACACAACTAGAGTTGTTCACATTAATCCTTATCAAATATTTCATGTGTTAGTTAGCTAGAGACAATATTTCAGTGCTAAAAATCAATTTTTATTGAAATGTTTAATGTTCAACGGTATTCCTATAGTTAGTTAAATAATGGTAAAAGCTAGATTAATATTGATTAGTTTCCTAATATATTTCATATCTATCATAAATTGACACACATCTATTCTTAAAACTATTGTTTTAATGGAAATATTTTTGTATGTTTGTGTATGCTTACTGACGATCAAAAGCCCGGGTAAAGGAGGAGGGTTGGAAATGAAGTTAGCAACCCCATTTCGTACAAAACAATCTTGATAAAAAACACCAACCAGAATAAACCACTTAAACTCTTCCCTCCGAGTTTAAGGATCTCCATTAAGAAGAATTTTTAAGCTTCATGGTAGAACTCGAGA